GGGGGAGGGGAGGGGAGGAGGCAGGGACAGAGGCCTGCCAGGACAGCCAATCAGAGTGTGAATAAAGCATTACGGACAGACAGACAGTTGTAGGTTTTTATAATATTAGAATATCTGCTCTGGAACTTGCTTCCCCAGTGGACTGAGAGTACCTTATTTACCCTTTGGAGCCTGTGGCAAGACCTATTAAGCTAGGCTTTTGCTTGATGAGATAGTTGAGAAGGGATGGAGAACAACTGCATTTCTTGTTCTTGGGAGTCATTTATTAGTTCCCTTTAAGTGAGATTGTGCTAATGAGCTGATATCTCATTCTATGCAAATGTATTTTCTTGTAAGAGAGATGGATCCTTTAAATTTATAGCTAGTTTAGTTAGGCTTTCATCCCTATGGTGCTTGATTATTGTGGACGTGGATTTGGTGGTTGTACTAAGCATGTTTTGTAAACCAAAAAGAAATAAAATAACAAGATTTAACATCTTGCTTGAATATGCAAAGCCCAGTGAGTAATGTAAAGCAATCCATGGTTTAGTACAGCCCCAGATTTGCAGAAAATTTGTGGTTCAGTACAGAATCATCATCCGGTACCATACTGGTTTCTCTCTTTTGTTCTTTTAGGCTTTTCACCTTCTTCTGGGGTCTCTTCCCACCTACTTTCCACGATGCCACCACTTCCAAGATCTGCTGCCACTTTATTTCCTGTCCAGCTCCCTTCAGAAAATTCTCCACAAGTCCAGAGCCATGGACACTTGCAAACTGATCCCTTAATAATGTGTCCACCCCTGCAAAGAGGTTCCCCAGTTTCTTCACCAAACAATAGCTGTGCAGAAACCTCAGGAGAGAATCCACAACTTCCAGGTCCAGGTTGGTAATGAACTGCAGCAGTGGAAATCTGTACTCATGAACAATGTGCAAAGCATCAGGATTTTTGCCTTTACTTTCCATTTTGACTTTCATGATTTTTTTAATGTTGCTTTAAAAACTTTTAAATTAAGGGTCTTTTCATTCATTTTTGTTTTGTTTTGTTTTGCCTCTCCATGTTTGGAAATGGTGGCCATGTTGTTTCTAGTACTAACAGAGAAATCAGAGGCCTTGTTTCTATGGAATGGATACAGGTGGAATAGAAAAAGTTTAGATTAAAAAGGAAAAGTAGTTACAGCTGTAAGGAATGTGGTAGCTTCTAAGAGAGAAAGTTTAAAGGGAACCAGTGTGGCTTCCAGTGATCATAGACTCAGAAAAGTCATGGCTGGAAAGGATCTCTAGGCTAAGTACACACATTCAAGGGCATTAGGGGGAGGTTACATTGGATCAAAATGGCTGCCTGATATCAGGTAAATCAGGATGCGGGGGGGGGCTGGCAGAGGAGTTGGGGGCCCAGCAGGCTGGAGGGGAATGGGAGTCTACCAGGGGATGGGCAGGTTCCCCCTCACAGGTGGAGTAGTTCCTGGGGCTGTTGCTCCACTCACACACACTTCATAATGCTACTGAAATTGGGCACATGGACAGTTACTACAGAGCTAAGGCTCAGTAAATCCTTTGGTAATTGTGAGTAGTGGTAACACGGTATATGGGGTTACATGACATTATCTGGCTGCAAGTGGGGCTGCAACTGGAAACATTTTGAGGACTGCTCCTATAACTATCACAATATAGTGCTATAGTACACCAAAAGATCCCAAGGCCCTAGCTCAGCAGGGTAGTTAAGCCCATTTTTTGAGCATGTGAGTCCATTTCTGAGCATGTGAGTAGTGCACTTGGCTTTGTGGGACTGTGTGTGCTTAAGGTTTGCTACATGCTTAAGTGCTCTGGTGAACAAGGCAATGGTGATGAGTGGGTTTTTTTCAAAAGCAGTTACAGCACTTTAATTGAAAATATTTTATTTTAAGCTGGTTCTCTGAACATAGGGGCACACCCAGAGCCATTATCTCTGTGTCCTGGGAGCCCCACAAAAAGACTTTCTAGACAAGATGCTCTAGAAGAGGAAATAACAGCAGACAAAGGTAAATACCAGAAAGGATTTGAGCAATATATTCTTATATGCTATTGTGAACAACTAAACTTGATGAAAACATTGAACAAGGCTGTGAATCCATGGAGGGGTCTTGAAGAATGGCTCCCTGGTCAATCACTCTTGCATCTGTTGCTCCTTCCTCTTAGTTAGAAAATCCCAGTGCTAGAGCAGCTCTGGGATTAGTGAGTTCCCTTTGACTCTCTTTGCAGCAGACCCTCTAAGGTAAGGCAAACTGCCTGGCTCAGTTCATGGGACACATGGGTTAGGGGTCAAGGGACCTGGGTTTGGTTTCCAGTTCCACCATTTCCAGGCTGTTTAACTCAGAGCAAGTCACTTGCCCTCTCTGGCTAGTTTTCAGCTAGTGCCAGTGAGCACTGCTCTGTTATCTTCTCCTGCAGCCCCTGCCCTAAACTGAACTAAAGCTGGTATATTTGAAAAAAAGGTAGCAGTACAGCTTGCTCTCCCTCAGAAAAGAAGTGATTCTCCCCTAGTCAGGCTGGCACAAGGAGGCTCAAGTTACTTCTCTCTGCACCTTTGTGGGTGAATCTGATGCTGTGGTCCCTGGCAGATGTTAATTTAGATGTGTAATGGGGTTTGAAGAATTGTATCCTGGATCCCAAAAATCACACATTCTGTCATGCCAGATATTTAAAATCTGGCATGACAAGACACACGGTATTTTTGGGAGCTGGGAGAAAATTCCCAAGATCCCATTGTGTGCCTGGACCTTTAAAGCAGAGCCAGACAGCTCACTCTTGGGGACTGGTTGCTGGAGATAGGTTGCCCAGTGCAGCTTTAAGCTTGTCAGAACCTAGCATTAGAGACCTACACCTGAGTGCTGGGCACCTTGCATACTGGGAAACTTAAGTGGGTACCCTTTGACATGTATATTCAAATTAAAGTGTGATACGATCCAGCCAATAAGTTGGTCCACATTAAATGTGAACCATCTTTTGGGCAGGTTTGACATTTTATCAGATGAAAAATTGGCTCAATATGTGACATGTTACACTTTATCATGCAAGTAATACGTTAATGGCATGATAAATATAACAATTGCCAGAGGTTTAAAGAAGCTGAGTTGCACTGTATTAAACATGGATGGATTCCTTTTCTCAAGGAGCAAAATCCTGTCCTTTGTGCCAAGTGAAGTAGCAAGGCATGACAGGGTTGGAATGTACTGGGTGGGAGAGAGAGAAAATCAAGAACTCCCCACCCCACCCCCATCAGTAGCACTTGTTGCATTTCCACCCCAAAAGAGTGGACATTGTAGCTACCAGCTCTACATGCAGTGTGTATAACAGGAACGATCAGGTCCAGGCCTTCTCTAAGATTACAGGTTTTATTACTTGAGTTACAGGAGTCATTCTGCTAGAGGCTAGTGCTAAAGTTATGGCTTTTGAAATGTCAACAAACCCATTTCAGTGAATATAGTCAGCTGCTTCAGTTAGAAGGGTGTGGGGCTTGTAGGCTTTTCTTTTACAAGTTAAAAAAACCTAAACAGGCAGCTCTGTTATCCATTTGGGGGCATCTAATCTGGAGGTAGTGACAGAAATCAGAAAGAGCAAAGTGTGTCATACTACCTTCTAGCCGTGGCTATTAAACACTAGTATGGCTAGTAGGGGTGTGCTAAACAGGCTGTATTCGATCCGGATTTGGATTTGGCCTGAATCAGGGACAGCGATTCGATTTATTGATTCGGATCACTGTCCCGATTTGATTCGGCTAAATCTGAATCTGAAGATTTGATGCTGATTCGCAGAATCAGCAATTCAGCCATAGACACAGCTTTAAATATTTTTTCTACATACCTCGAGGTACCAGGCATGGCTCGTGACCACTGCAATGGTGGGGTGGATGGAGTGTCCCACAGGAGCATGGGGGGCTTTCTGCGTGCTCGGTGGCGAACCTGGAAGTAAACTGGAAATACTTCCAGTCCACTTCCAGGTCCACCACCGAGCACGTGGGGGACCACCCCCCATCACCCCAGCTTGGCGATTGGCCGCGGGAGGACACCAGGTGCCCCCCCAGACCCAGGAGGCACCAGTTGCAGAGCCAGAGGGCGGGGGGTGGGGTCCCCCGCACACTCCCTAGCGGACCCAAAAGTGGACTGGAAGTGCTTCTGGTCCACTTCTGGGTCCGCTGCTGAGTGCACTGGGGACCCCCCCTGCATTCCCGTGGAACGCTCCATCAGCCCCACCATCTCAGCATTCATGAGCCACCTGGTACCTTGAGGTATGTAGAAAAAACATTGAAAGCTGTGTCTATGTCCAAATCATTGAATCTTTCCAAATCTCTTCGAATGGATTCGGACAGATTAAAGGGTCTCCTGGTTCAATTTGAATTCAGAGATTTGGCCGCCGAATCAGGGCGAATCTCTGCCAACTCGAATTAGCAATCGAAGCTTCGCACAGCCCTAATGGCTAGTATGTGTGCAGAAATCAATTTCTCAGAATTCTGTTAGTTTAATGCTCAATCCTGCCAGCTGCTGAGAACTCTCATCCTAAAGTTTCAAAGCCTGCAAGCACTTGCTTACGTATAAACACACAAGTATTCCTTTGATTTGAATGAGATTTGTCAGGCCCCTGCCACATGTTACACTTCCTAAGTAATTAACCACTTAATCATGTCTTAAATTGTGGCCCAGTCATATGATCAATCAGTTAATGGCATGATAAAGTGAGAAATAAGCCACAAAGTTCTTCCACAAAACTCTGTTAACTTTGTGACTGGGTCCTATTACACCATTAATTGAATGTTTGGCCAGGTGTGCCCATATAGTTTCATAGATGGTAGGGTCGGAAGGGACCTGAGCAGATCATCAAGTCCAACCCCCTGCCATGGGCAGGAAAGAGTACTGAGGTCAAATGACCCTGGCAAGGTGATTATCTAGCCTCCTTTTGAAGACCCCCATGGTAGGAGCGGGCACCACTTCCCTTTGGAAGTTGGCTCCAGCTCCTATCCGCCCTAACTGTGAAGTAGTGCCTCCTGATGTCTAGCCTGAACCTACTCTTAGTCAACTTATGGCCATTATTCCTAGTTACTCCTGGTAGTGCTTTGGGAAATGGGGACTCTCCTGTTCCCTGCTGGTCACCCTTGGTAAGTTTATAGATGGCCACCAGGTCCCCTCTCAGCCTTCTCTTGTGGAGGCTGAACAGGTTCAGGTCTTGTAGCCTCTCCTCGTAAGGCCTGCCCTGCTGCCCCTGACCATGTGAGTGGCCCTCCTCTGGACCCTCTCAGTGCTGTCCACATCCCTCCTGAAGTGCGGTGCCCAGAACTGGATGCAGTACTCTAACTGCAGCCTGACCAATGTCACATAGAAGGGGAAGATCACCTCCTTGGACCTGCTTGTGGTGCATCTGTGGACGCATGACAAGGTGCAAGTAGCCTTACTGACCACATCCTCACGTTGGCGGCCCATGTTCATCTTGGAATCAATAGTGACTCCAAGATCCTTTTCTGCCTCTGTGCTGACAAGAAGGGAGTTCCCCAGCCTGTAGGTACGCTGCTGGTTCTTCCTCCCTAGGTATCTTACACTTGTCAGTATTGAAACCCATCCTATTCTCATCCTCCCACCCTTGTAACCTGTCCAGATCTAGTTGTAGCCTGTCCCTCCCTTCTAGCATGCCCACTTCTCCCCACATCTTAGTGTCATCTGCAAATTTGAACAAGGTGCTTTTCACCGCCTTGTCCAAGTTGCTGATGAAGATGTTGAACAGTGCGGGCCCGAGGACTGCGCCCTGGGGGACTCCATTGCCCACATCCCTCCAGGTCAAAAATGACCCATCCACCACCACTCTGTGTGTGTGGCCCTGCAGCCAATTTGCAACCTATCTGACTGTGTAGGTATCGACGCCATAGTCGCCTCATTTTTTAATGAGAATGGGGTAAGAGACAGTGTCGAAGGCCTTCCTAAAGTCCAGAAAGACTATGTCTAGAACACCTGCATCCAAGGTTTTTGTGACCTGGTCATAGAAGGCCACCAGGTTGGTCTGACAGGACCTGCCTCTAACGAACCCATGTTGGTTGCCCCTAAGCATAATCTCCTCTGCTGGTCCCTCACAGATGTGCTCCCAGATAATTTTCTCAAAGAGGTTCCCCAGGACCAAGGTATGACTAACAGGCCTATAGTTTCCTGGGTCCTCCTTCCTCCCTTTTTTATAAATGGAGACCACATTGGCCCTTTTCCAGTCCTCTTGCACCTCGCCAGAACACTACGAGTGCTGGTAGAGCCATGCCAGGGGTCCCGCAATGACCTCTGCCAATTCCCTCAGCACCCTGGGGTGGAGATCATCTGGACCTGCTGATTTGAACACACCCAGTCCCACCAGAAGTTCCCTAACTAGGTCCTCTCTGACCCTGGGGCTGGCTGCGCCTCTCCTGGCTCCGTCTGGAATCCCGGTGCGGAGGATGTCCCAATCCCTGCTCAGAAAAATGGAGGCAAAGAATTTGTTAAAGAGGTCAGTTTTATTGTCTGGTGCAGAGAAAGCCCTGGATGTAGGGGTCCAGCTGGGAGTCTGAGCACATATACAAGCTTGAATTCCCAACGCTTTAGCTCTGGAGTCAGCACACACTCCCCTAGGCCACACAGGCAGGCCTAGGGAGCTGATGGGGCTCCCAGCCCTGGGGTGATACCATGCTCCTCTGAGCACAACTGATGATGCTTCCAGCTGTGGGGGTGCACCAGGCATCAGAGCCCGGTTCAGCTGATGGGCTCCCAGCCACGGGACCTCATGGTGCATCCCTGTGGCTGGGTTCCTGGATCACCTGAAAGGGCTCCTAACTGCGGGAGTTTGCTGCTTGCTGGTGCAGGGGGAGCCTGTGATCATGATACCAGGCTCCCCCTGCACCAGCAATAAAATGTGATGGGATCTATCATATGATCCCCAATTACACCTTCTTCCATGTACATATGGCATGGCAGGAAGCATGATTGTGACGATCATGCCTCAGTTTCCATCACACCTGTACCTGCATGTCTAGCTGGGGCCCAGGGAACATCCATTAAATCCTTTTAATGTTTTCCTCTTTTTGGTCATTAGACTTAGCAGTGAGATATATTTAAGTATATTTTATTCTCCATTTAGGTAATTTTAACTTTTTCCATGAAGCACTTTCAAAATATATAAAAAAAAATCTTAGACTATGTAGAAAACAATGAAGAAAAAAATTAAGGCTGTATATTGACACCTATTCTGACATATAGATAAAGATCTACTAGAGGAAGAGGCTTGCCTTGAAGCCTTGCCTGCCATTGAAGAAAAAGGAGGAGAACAAATTGATGAACAGATTCCCCTTTCACCCTTTGGCATAAGAATCAAGACAAGGAATAGAAATCTGGAAGACAGGTGAGGAATGGGTTTAGTCTGTGACAAAATTGAAGTTATCTGTAAAATAGTTTTCTAGCTTTGCTTGCTGTGATACATGTACAGTTACGGTTTCAGATGTTAGCATATTGGTGGGTTTTATGTACAAATATTCTCTCCCTAGAACGACAGTGGCTTGTATGCATAGGCAGAGGTGAGACAAATCTGTGGCTCTGTGGTGGGACTGCCAGGTCCAGAATAGAAACATCACTGACACTATTTAGCTGGCTCTTAGAATAAAGCCAAGTAGGAGAGGCCTATGTGTCTGGGGGGAATGTGGTAACTATGAGCACATTTCAAACCTATCTACAGTCTTCAGACTTACCAGCCAAACAAATAAGTAAAGACTTAACAAGAGGTCTTTTCATATACTTTTCCCTTAGGACTTGTCACTTTCTGCTACCTTCCCTTATTTTTCTTCTTTCTTTCTTTTTGTGTCCTATATAGTAAAACTCTGGCTCAGCGAGAGTTAGCATCAGAACCAAAAATTGTATTTTGTATCCTGTTGTTTTTTTCTCTTCCCTTTTGTGGGTTTATTTTGTTTTGCTTTAAAGAAAAATGGGTCAGACTTCAACTGCAATAAGAATTCAAGGCCATCTAAGCTAAACTTTTCCCTTTTCTCCCTAAATGGACCTTTTGCTTTTGCAGAAAAGGGAACCACATCAGAGGGACAACTGAAAATCTGAATAACAGGTCAGGGCAGCACAGCAAGTACAAACATTTTAGTGCCACTACAGATCTATGTAAAAGCTTACTTCAAAATGTTCCTGCAATAACAGAAAGGGAAATAATCATGACAATAATGCAATGCAAAAACTTGAGGATGTCATACATGCATAAGACAACTTCACAGGATCTTAACTTCCTTTAGAAAATCACCTCTGTAATTAGGTCACTGATTTAGTGCTCTCTGGGCGCGTCTGCATGAGACACTAAATGCACAGTAGACTAATTTTACTGCACATTAGCGTGTCACACCAAAAGTTGTGCTATTGTGCTAATGCATGGTAGAATTAGTCTACTGTGCACTAGTGTCACTAAAAAGACATGCACCAGTGCTACTGCATAGTAGCTCCAGTTACTGTGCATTCAGTCAGTACCTGTTATTACAGGTACTAAATTTAATATGCAGTAACTGTGGAGCATTAATGCATGTGTAGACATGTCCTCTGAGGCTCAGTGCATAGATGATTTAGGCTATAATGCACATTGCAGCTAATGATGAAGAACAAGAGTAGTCTTAAGGAACAAGATTTTTTTTTATACTTTAGCTTGATCACTAAAATAGATATTCTATTTGAGGAAACTCAGGGTTGCATTTTTCAGTGGGCCTTAATCTATCCTTTGTTTGCTCACATGAAATTTTGCACATGCAGATGATATTTCAGATACTTTAACCATCTCAAATACCATCTAAAGGCATGTCCAAACACGCAGGCATGTGCATCTGCAACAGCTCAAATAGGAGCGGCACAAATTTGAGCCAGGGATTTTTGCCTCAGCGCACGTGCCCAGAAATGCGCTTTGGTGTGGGGCAAGTCATGCCACTTGGGGCAAAATAACCCTGCCCAGCTCCTCCTGGGTCTGCAGCCAGGGGGAGTTAGAGCCTGGGGCCAGCACCTTTCCTGGCCCCAACAGTATAAAAAGCTGCCCTGGCAAGCAGCTCAGGGCTGCTTGCTTCCAGGAGCTTCTGGGGCCTGGCCAATTGGTATCTGGGGACACTAGCCCCTTGTGCCAGCTAGACTGCTGAAGCAGCCCTAATCGAGAGTTCCCTGCACCCTCTACCCACTACAGCAGTCTGGCAGCAGGGGCAGCTGCCTGGATATGACCTGCTGTGACCTGCGACAGCATGTGACCCCAAGGCTGTGTGCCTGCCAGACCCAGATGGGGACTACACAGCCACAGCCAAGGCATCTGCACGTCTGAGCTAGCTGCCAGCAGGATGTGACTGTACAGTTGGCCTTTGTGTGGCACTACTGTCATGTGTGCCTTCACCCTGCCATCTGGGCAGCTATTGCCCGGAAGATGTTCTCAGTGTGGTGGCCTGCTTTGAACTGTCAAAGCATGTCATTCTGGCCCCAAGTGCCCAGGAGGTCAGCCACCTCCAGCTGGGTCCCAGGTGCCAACTCTGAGCAGGCTTCTCTGCCTGGGTCCTGCCACTTGCCTCACTAGCAGGAATCCTGGCGTTCCCTATTTAAAAACTACAAAATCTCTGATAAAAAATCCCAAATTCACTCTTTAAATACCCCCAAATCCATGTTCTTCTACAATTAATACAAAAGACCACTAGAGAGAGAGAGAAATTAGTTGGGCAATGTTTTATTGATATATTTACAATGTTAAAGCAATTTGGAAGCCTACCAGTGTCTCTATCATCACAATAAAATAAATTCTAAATATTTATATGTTTTGATGTTTGCTTTTGATTTTCTTATCATAGAACAGTTAGAACTCCCCCCACCCCTTCACTAACTAGGATGTGGGGACAGCTGCCCCCGCAGCCACAGCTCCTGCCAGCAGGTCTCATCCTGTCTGGCAGCTGGGCACAATGGGTGTGTGATGGGTGGATGTGGGGTTTGCAGGAGGAGGGTGGGAAGGGGTGTGGGGGGATGTGGGTGGGTGTGGGCTGTGTGGGTAGGTGTGGGGGACTGTGGGGTGTGGGGCTGCTCAAGAGAGGTGGGTCCCCTACCCCCCCCGCAGAGCCCACATGCCCCTTTGCAGGGCCCACATGCCCCCCGCAGGGCCCCAGCCCCCCTGCAGGGCCCACATTCCCCCCTGTACAGCCCACATGCCCCCCTGCAGAGTCCCAGCTCCCTGGCTTGGCGCACAGCTCACCTGCAGCAGCAGCGACCATTGGGGTGCTCGGGGCCTCCTGGCACAGCCATGCTGAGCTGGGCCAGGTCCATGTGATATGGCACAGGCATGGGGGGGCTATGACAGGAGGCCCTGAGTGCCCGGATGGCTGCTGCTGCTGTAGGTGAGCTGTGGGCTGTGGCAGGGGGGCATGTAGGCCCTGTGGGGGGGTGGCCCACCCCTCCCGAGCTGCCCCCCCACCACGGTCCCCTGCAGTCTCACAGCCCCCCACCCTTCCAGCCCTCCCACACCCTACTTACCTGGATTGGAGCCCGGGTCCAGGTTGCTGCAGCCTGCATTGCTGTTTGCCCTGCATAGGCAGGCAGTGTGCTCAAGCATCGGGGCAAGGGGCAGCCATAGAGATGCTCTGGCTGGCTACCAGAGCATCTCTTTGGAGGACCCGAGCCTTCGGTTGCCTCAGGGCACGGTCCTGGACCATGTCCTGCCCTGCCTTTTTTTTTTTTTTTTTTGGGTGGGGGTTGATACCTGGATATCCAGGTAGCAAATTTTGAGCCCACGCTGCAAACATTTTTTTGTTCCCAGCGTGCCTCTTGCTGCGTCTCAAACTACTTTGAGACGTGGCAAGAGGCATGTGTGGGATCATCTGGACGTGCCCTAAAAGACTATCATATGGGTTTTTCCTTTATAAGTTGTTAAAGACCTAATGATAAACAGAAGAGGGGGACTTGTTAGAAAGAACATGGCTGACTTTTACTTTTCAAGTGCTTTACCTGTTTGCCTTCTTTTTCTGTGTCTTAAATAGAAAGGAAATAGATTTTAATAGTGATTCATAGAATCATAGAATCATAGAAGTAGGGTTGGAAGGGACCTTGTAGATCTTCAAGTCCGACCCCCTGCCTGGGCAGGAGAGAAACTGGGCTCAAGTGACCCCAGCCATGTAGACATCGAGCTGCTTCTTAAAGACCCCCAGAGTAGGAGCCAGCACCACTTCCTTTGGAAGTTGATTCCAGATCCTATCCGCCCTAACTGTGAAGTAGTTCCTACGGATGTCTAATCTGAACCTATTCTCCAACAACTTGTGGCCGTTATTTTTTGTTATCCCGGGGGGCGCTGGGGGAAACAAGGTCTCCCCCAAACCCTTCTGGTCCCCCCTAGTGAGTTTATAGA